TTCAAATCTTTAATTTTGATTGAGCAATATCTCATTTAAAAAAAATTCTTGCATGAAAGATAAAATAAAAAATTTTCAAATACTTAATAATAATTTTATGGATTTTACTTCTACATTCTCGAGTATATATAAATTTTTGTCTGAATATGCTGCATTAATATACACAACAACATCTTGCCATGGTTAATGTGATTTTGCAGCATGTAATAAATGTAAAAGATTTTGTACGTACGTAAGATAAGATTACTTGCTCTGCATTTTGAACTATTCCACTCACGTGAATCTATCTTTATTCTAATAACATTGAAATACATCATGTATGTATATTTATGAAAAGCCTTTTTCTCAAATAGCCATATTGCAAAACATAAATTTTGACCAAGTTGTAGCCGTGTGGCTGAATGGTTTGTTTTTTTATTTTATTTTTTCATACACACCATATTCAAGATATTAAGTTCAAGGTTGGAATCTGAGTTAGGGCAAGTATTTTTCACCACTCCTTCCAATATCGTTGTTTGAACTAATTTGGCGAATTTTTTGTGTATTAATTTTGTTGTTGCTTCTGAATGTTAGAAATGGTTTCTAGAAAACTATACTTTTTTAAGCCTCTCTCTCTCTCTCTCTCTCTCTCTCTCTCTCTCTCTCTCTATATATATATATATATATATATATATATTGATATGTAAAAAACCTATGTTTATATTTTTCACCTAAGTTTGAAATTTATGATTATGAGGAGCATTTTGGTATAATAATGTGAAGAATTTAAAATACAGTCGGATAAAAAATACATATTAAAATGTCTGCGTTCTTCATATGAACAGTTTTATGTTTAATTTGACACTAACTAGATCCAATCCTCAATTAATAAACAAATATTGATTATATACTATTAAGCAAATTTATTTATTTTTAGTTGAATTTATTAAAAATCGTAGTTTTAAGATGGCATTCATTCTTTAATTAGGTTCACTATATGATTCGATCATTTTAATCAATATAACAATAGGAGAATGTGTTAAAAGAAGTGTCTTAAAAATTGTGAATTACTATAACTCCTCAAATATACTACATAAGATGTTTTAATCATAATACTCATTGATGTTATAAATATACAAGAATATTCATAACAATAATAAGTTCATATCAATAATAACATACAAATTAAAATAACACATACCTTATGTTGACTTTTCATAAAAGATTAAAACGATATCGTACTTATTAAGTTTTTTTTTACTAATCAATTACCAATTCTATACTCAATTGTTCTAAACCAGGCTGTGATTTTATTTAGACCAAATAATACTAGAATAACTCACCATTTTATTTATTAATTTATTTCCAGAATTGGTCCATCTGGCTTTCAAAATTATTATTAAACGAATAGTGGGTAGTGATATAGTAATTTGATTTCGATCAAATTTTTTATATATATAAAAAAATCCAATCATTAATTTTTAATGGAATCAATTATTCATTTTTCTTTTATTTGAAGATAATGTTCCAAGGGATAAGAGTTCTACATAATTTAGAGTTGAAATAAAAAATAATTTATATATATATATATATATATATTATTTTAATATAAAATCTTAATAAACAATATCTTATAAATGAATGGATCCTAAGAGATTATTATAACGAATATATGACTAAAAATATTCTAAAAATTGAATATACATCTCATCCTTATTAAAAAAACAAAAATATATACATTTCAAACCAACTCTTAAGAAAAAGACAAAGAGAAGAATGAGGGCATTTCTCTTAATTTTATTTTTTTTTTAAAAAAAAAGGAATGTGAAAATGAAGTATAAAAACTCAACAAGATTTGCAATATAATTAATAATGTTCATTCTAGGCTTCTACCTATATACATGTCTTCAAACCATAGTATACACGAATACTACTGATTAATTAAAATGCTAATTAATCCATGCACCCTAATGATCATTCACTTAGATATTAAGCAATGTATTGGTTTGAAGTGATTAAAACTTAACATTTGGTGAAGGTGGAGAAGTTTGAAGAAGTGATTTAACAGGATGCTTAAAAGTAGGGATGAATGAAGAAAAAGAAGAAGAATAATGAATATAAGAAAAGAGAATATGAAACAGAAGCAGAGGGATCTTGTGAAATGAAAAATATGGATTATGAGTTGAGAGAAACACGTTCGTGCATGACAGGCCAATCACACACAGATCCCAGAAACCAACAAAATGAAACTGGGATTCTTTCATCAACACTTTTGTCTTCCCACTGACAATCACCCTACCATGTGAAGCAGGCCTCTAAATTAATCATTCATATTAAAATGATTATAATATATCATGTGTTGTTTCTTGTGGAAATAATAGTATAAATAGAAAGAATGACTCATAGGGCTCCTAAAATGCCAACCCTTCACAATCGCTTATCACTGCCACTTTCTCATTAAACTAATCAGAAAAAAAAAATGTTTGAGTAAAATAATGTTGCTGTTGCCACTGCCTCTGTGCTGTGACAACCGCGTTCGTGGCCACGCGGGAACACTTGCCAACGCCCATCACGCGTCCCTGCGTCACCTCTTCATCTCCATCCACGGCTCTCGTCAATCTTCAATCATGCATGCCACCAACACATTCTAATTCACCACCTCATCAACCTCAAAGTAGGGATCCACTACTATATATTTCTTTACTCACTTTCTCCATTTTAATCCAAACGTTTCATAGTTTATCAAATCCAATAGTTTAGATCGATTCATGGATATGGTTATACAGAATCATCACATTTATACAGATTTCATCTCACATTTTTTATGTTATAGGGTGCGTTTGCTTAGTCCTAAGAATTAGTGAGCTCCATTTTTAATTAACAAGAAACAAAACAATAGGAAGGAGAGACAAAGTGACTTTACATCTGATAGGGAGGGGTTCTTGCACCCGGACCAACCACAGTGCCTACTTATTAGGCTTAGCTGTAGAATTTTATGAACCATCAACACACACATAAATCAATTCTCTAACATTAAATCCCCAAAAAATATTAGTACACTTATGTTTCTGTTATATGTTTATATATAAATAATAATGTTCGTGGTCACGACATACATAATTCTAAGTCATTGCAATCACATTTGGGTTCTTCATCTGTCATAACTTTCTTTTACCATTAATATTTTTAATAGTATTTGCTATAATTATACTTATCTTCAATTACTTCACCCGTAATTTAACAAGATTTGAAAGACTTAAGGAAAAGGTAAAGCAAGCAATTGACAATAGACCCGTTTCAAGTGGGAAGTGTGGTTAGGTTAAGTTTATGAAGGTGATGATGAAGAAGAAGATGACAAGGATCTTAGTTCATAGGAGATGCACATTGGGAGTTGCAAAATAAGATCCCTTCCATGTGGGCAATCTTGATTTTAATTTTCATGCAATTAATATTTAACTGAAAAACAGGATTAAACCCTTGGGTCAAGGGCAACGTGGCACTTTTCCATGTGCTATAAATGACTTCACTTGCAAGGGGTAAGCAAGGTTGTTCAATCCATTGCCCTTTATTTTGGGACTCATTTAGAGATCCTATGTCACAAGCCTTTAAGTGCTTTTCAAGTTCAAGAAAAAGCCACATATAGTCTTTGTTCACATTCTCTTCATGCCTTCTGTCTTTTCTATTCTCACACACAAGTAAAACAATTTAGACCCAGTTAATGATATTAATTGTTGAATTTGCTGCTGTCTGACTAGCTTTGCATGACAAGTTCAATATGGATGATTAATAGTCAATTAGACGGAGGAAGCACGTTAGCAACTAGATTCTAACTTAAGTAAGACAAACAATAAGATTTAATATTTTATAAAAAAAATATATAGAAAAAAATAGGGTGTTATTCATGTTCATGAGTACTTGTTTGAATTTAGGAACTGGAATGCCACAATCCCAATGCCTGTACTGTTTAAAATGTTAGCACAGTTGTGTGTCTGGGAGCAATCTGAGTGAAACATGATAATAAATAAAGCTACAATGTCATATGTCAGTCAGAGCTAAGAAATGCCAAATCTCAAACTCTCATTAATGACAACAACTGTTTCGTCTTACTATATAATTGAACCCTACTTAATCCCTTTTGCTTATACTTTAGGTTTCCTTGTCTCATCTACATGTTTTTTTTTTTCAGTAACTATTGAAATGAATATACCCATAACTGACTTATTTTGTCTTTCTTAATTGCATTCATAATAATTTGAAACAATTTGGCACAAAGTGTATTTATGCTTTGTGTAGTTGCATTTAATTGTGCATGTGCTTCAACAAGTAGTGTATGCAACCATCTTGTAATTAAAATATAAAGAACATGTAGTTATTTGAAAACTCGCTAAAACAATAAACATTTATATTGGAAAGTTGAGGGATTAAAAAAATGTTTGTCCATATAAAGTGGGAGTTTGTCTGCATAGTTAGGTGGGTTCTATTTAAAATGGGCCAATTCATAATGGGCTCAAACCTTTTATGAGAAAATTATTCAAAATTCTGTTTTGAAATATATCATCATTATTCTATATATGCTTAGAAGAGTTTTTCCTCAATATGTTGGTAGTTGGAAGTGTGTGGAGTTTGTCAACCAGTTAAGTAATATAGATTGTCTTTTCTCAGTTCAACTGATGAAAAGTTTCAATTCATTGCAGAAACTCTATGTTCTTCCTCTCTTAATAACAACAGCATTCATCTATTTTTCTTTTTAAGAAACGATGTTACAAAAACTTGTTAAAAAGCTTTAAGGGTCCTGCTACCAAAATTCTTAATCAAATAAATAGAAAAAATTTAGTGGAACCACTGTAAAATTGTATTACTATACTGCTGCATAGAAAAACTTTTTACTTCTAATTCTTTAGGCCACTGGTTACTATTCTCCAAAATGTGATTGTAGTTATAAATAAACAACATAAAAATAAAAAAAAAAATCTTAGGCACAAGTCACAGAGCAACAAGCAGAGAAAGATTATGTGGCATGGTTACAACTTGCTCTTCCTAGAAGGCCCCATCTCCTTGGCCTTTGCCCTCAGCAAAGCCTTCTGTGTCTTCCCAGCAGCTGTCTTTGGCAATGGTCCAAATACAACTGATTTTGGAACCCAATAAGCAGGCATGCGTGACCTACAGAACTTAACTATGTCTTCAACCAAACGTTGCTCATTACTACCATCCACTCCTTCCTTCAGTGTCACAAACGCACAAGGTGACTCACCCCACTTCTCATCTGGCCTTGCCACCACTGATGCCTCAAGTATTTCAGGGTGAGAGAACAGAACATTCTCTATTTCAACACTGCTTATATTTTCACCACCCGAGATGATGATGTCTTTTGACCTGTCTTTGATTTCTATGTATCCATCTTTATGCTTCACAGCCAGATCCCCAGAATGAAACCATCCATTTGCAAAGGCCTCTTTATTGGCTTTGGGGTTCTTCAGATACCCTTTCATCACAGCATTGCCCCTCATCATAATCTCACCAACAGTGGCACCATCAGCAGGAACAGGTTGCATGGTTTTTGGGTTCATAACTTCTAGGCCTTCCAAGGCAATGTACCGCACTCCTTGCCTTGCTTTGAGCTGGGCTAGCTGTTCAATGGGAAGTGATTCCCACTCTGGCTTCCAAGCACATATGGTGGAGGGGCCATAGGTTTCTGAGAGACCATATGTGTGAGTCACACGAAATCCTCTTTGAGACATTTCAGCAATCAGAGATGGAGGAGGAGGAGCCCCGGCTGTATTCACCTGTACAACATGCGGTAGAGGAAGGATGGCTTCTTCAGAAGAGGCATTCAGTATTGAGTTAAGAACCACCGGTGCTGCACAAAAATGAGTTACTTTGTACTTCACAATGGCTGCATATACTGCCTTAGCTGTTACCTGTGTTAATGCAAAAACAAAGGTGAGTGAGTGGGGATGTCCGTAACAATTAACTAAGAAGCTGTCAAACAAAAAATCTCACAGAGAAAAAAGTACAAGATATATTACTTAAAAAATAAGAAACCTATTCAAGCAGATTTGTTTCAAAGCACCACAGAACAGATAATTGTTATCTGAAATATAATACAAACTTAGTATGCATGCACAACATTCAAAGTAGAATGTGATCACTAGTCAGCCATAAATGTGCCTTGATGAACTCTAGAATCCTGCTTTTGTCATAAATGTGCATTGAAACTTAGTTCGTCAAATGGAATTCATTTAAACTGAAGTTTGCAAACTTTAACCCAACCATACACAAAAAAATCAATCCAATAAGTTTACCTGTCTCATACAAATGTTAGTCCCGCAAAGAGCAGCAAGTGTCCAAGGATAGCACCAGCCATTGCAATGAAACATGGGAAGTGTCCACAGATACACAGCACCTTCACTCATTCCCCAATGAAGAGCTCCACTTAGAGACATGAGATACGCCCCTCGGTGGTGTAACACCACACCCTTAGGACTAGCAGTGGTACCAGACGTGTAACCCACAGCAATGCTTTGCCACTCATCCTGAGGAGGCTTCCACTTGAATTCAGGGTCCCCACCTTCCAGAAATGTCTCATACTCAACAGCTCCTCTGGCTACACAGTGACTCAGAACCTTGGGGTGGCAATTTTCGTCACCAATGACAACTAAAATAGGAGGCTTAAAGCTTTCGCTTTTCTCAGACCAGATTTTCAAGGACTCTTCTGCCACGGAAAAGAACTCTTGGTCCACAATCACTGCTGCTGTCGATGAATGAGCAAGAAGGAAAGCTATTGCTGGAGCGTTCAGACGAATGTTAATTGCATTCAACACAGCCCCTGCCATTGGAATTCCAAAATGAGCTTCATAGAAGGCTGGAATGTTGGGTGCAATAACAGCTACCTGATGCCAACATTACAGTACAAGTCAACACACTTTAATGCAACAAAAAACCACAACAACATCAAGACAAAACTCATTTACAGGACTACATTGGCATAACAAGTGAAGAAGCTAAATATTGTGGTTGAGATTATAAAAGACAAGACAGAGAAGACCGAGATTAACACGAAGACAGCAAAAGAATCAGAGGTAGAAGAGAGTTACGGTGTTGGCATGGCCGATGGAATGGTTAGAGAGAGCAGAGGCGAATCGGCGGCAGCGTTGGTAGGTCTGGAACCACGTGTAGTGTCGTGATCCGTGGATGATGGATCTTCTGGTGGGGTGCACCAGAGCTGCTCTTTCCAAGAACCATAGCGGGGTCAAGGCAGTGTGGTTGGCATCGTTCTTCGGTAAATCGTCTATGTCGCACTCCACACCCATTCCCGCACCTTTCTCTCCAGGAGGACTCAGAAATCTAATGCTGCTTCCGAAAAAACACAATACACTAATCTTTATATGTTACCACCCCAAATTCATCGACAGCTTTTCAGAATAATTTTTTACTTTAATCTGCATGCATGGAAAGGAAGAAAAAGAAGATTATTTCAATATGAATAGTCTCCTGATTTCTGTGTGTTGGTTATGTTTGTATTCATGCAGTTGGGTTTCTATTTTAGCTCATGTTTTTTTAGATAAAAAGATTTAATTTTTAATTTTTCAAATAAAAACATTTTATTACTCTCCGTGAAATTTCTTGATTCTTGATGAAGTTATATGTCTCTAAAAGATCATAACTATTCAATACACTTAAATATAGACGTAATGGTGTAGAAGTTCACACCCTTTCATTAAGTTTTAGAATATCTTTCTCTCTCTCTCTATAATTCAACGGTTCTTATATATTATTATGGAAGTGTGGTGTAAATTTGACAATTGCATTTTTTCTTTACTTACTTTCTTTCAATTTGGACCTTTGATAAGTAACGAACAGAGTTATTACATTGACTATTAGAATGAGTTTGTTTGTTTGTGTGCTTCTTTGTAGTTTTCACGTTTCAATGTGCAATCCAATGCCCACTATACTGGTTTCGCTCGCCCAGGATTTCATTTCACTCTCAAACCCAATCAAAAATTACAACTCAATGTTACCAATAACGTATTTCTTAAAATTACTTTTCCTACATCGTTACATTTACATGCATGATGCATTGTTCATTCTTTCTATTTCAACAGCTTCCTCAGTTCCTCCTGTACCATTCCAACAGCATTACCTCTTTGGCAACTTTAACATCCTTGGTAGAATAGAACCGTGCAACGAAGGAAGCTGACATGGTAGTGACAAGTTACGAACAAAAAAAACAATTTTTTTTTTGAAAAAGCTATATATTCTCAAAACAGCAAGTGAAACAGCGGAAAATGATGGGATAGATGAAGGAATGGGAGAGCAATTGGACCAAAATTATATTAGAAAGTACCAAAATTCAAAATTTAAAAGCACATTTAAAACTTGACCCAGTTCAGAGAACCAAAATGCAAACTAAATACAATAATCTGAAAACACAATACATCAGGAACCAATAAAATTACACAAATACATGTTCCGAAAAAAGAAAATTCTTTATAGGAGATAATTAGAGTTGAAGAACGTGACATGCTCATGTATGAAGGTTGTTCGTCCAACCTTGTCAGTTGTCTCTGCATGCATTACCCATGGGACCGCCGGGCCACCGATCGGACATTCACAGCGCAGTCAGAGAAGGGAGAGGGGAAGGGTCTTCGTGGATGATGAAGCGAATGACTTTGAACACATGAGACGACAAAGATCTTCTGTTTGAATAGTGGTTATGAATTGGCTGTGTCTATATCATTGGTTTTCAGTTCCAGACCATGTGCTCCTTTCTGTTTCTTACCTCCAGTGCATTCACTATGACTACACAATTCTATCTTCGATTGAGCCCTTTAAGTTCATATTGAATTGAAAGTAAATGTGTATATAGACATATGTAATTGTTTTCTTTGTAAATGCTTCTTATTTATAATATCAGCGTATTATACCACAACAATATCATAACCCCACCTCTCGTTTATTCAAAGTGAATAACGGTGCAAGAAAAAAAAAATATTTGTACCAAATGAATTCAATTTATTATCTTACACGGTTTCAGGAGCCATTCAATAGGGCGCAACAACACTCATCTACTGCAAAACTTAATATTTTGAAAGCTACTTTGGTTCATGAACAAGACCTGGGAATATTGTTCCAACTACTTTGACGGGCACAAATAAATTTCATTAGATCGGTTCTTGGGTTGGTAAAAAGAAACATATGAAACTCATTTTTTTATTTACTTCTCATCTTGAAAAATGTAGTTGCGCGCTTCTTCTGCATTAAGAGTGCAGCACGAGACATGACAGGCAAACTGAATTTACCTGGTGTATTGTATTGAGACTTAGACAAAGGGAAAAGCAATATGCAATATGATCACACTCAAGTCGAATCTGAAATATTCTGTAGGACAAAAAATGGAAATATTACTCAGTCCCAACTCCAAAGTCCTGAAGAAAATAGCAAAGACAGCACGCATTTCTGGCAGAGTCAAAAACCCATAAATTCTGCACAAAATATTACTATAAACACGTTTTCCATAAAGATATGGAATCAGGGTACAAATTTAATGTCTTTGAAGTATTCATGCTCAACAGCGATCCTGGCGGTAATTCTTTTGCTGGGATCCAAGCATAACATACTCTGCAATACAATAGAAATTAGTACATAAAATAAAGCACCAAAGGAAAACAATATTAGAAATACCCCAGGAACCAAAAAGGATGATAGTATCTTAGATGAAGAAAACTAGTAAAAATGAAAGAATGAATTGTTATAGAGGATTAAGGAAAAATTATTAGTGGATAAATGTCATGGTTTGTTTCATTCCATTACATGATAAATCAAATACTAGAATGCGTTTGTTATATAATAATCTCACTATACAGCTGATACCTAAACCAGTCTTGGAGCCAGATGTGATCAAAAGACAGACAAGATACTCAACAGTCATTTACAAGACCTCCCTTTAAGATTAACTAGAAAAACAAGGATAATCTCTCTACTTTCTCCTCTGCTTTCAACTCAATTTACTTTTATTAAATATTACTGAAGGGAATGTTGTGAAACAACAAGTATTGAAAGGTTTCAACAGTCAAGTGTTTTGTAAGAAAATGTAAATTATAAGAAAAGAGGGATCAAATTACTCCAAAAATAAAATTATTTCTTATCCTTATCCTTCATTTTCTATTAATCTAATAAAACCGTTAAAATGATTCAATTATTAGAACCTATAGACTAAAAGAAAGAGAATGATAAAGATGAATGATAACTCTCTTAAAGTTACTCTTTCCCTCTTTATTATAAAATTTAGAAAATAATCCTCTAATGACAAAAAGTAAAAAATCTAATGGCAGAAACGGTCTACCCTTGCACCAGTTATTGTCAATGAAGTGCTGAATAGAAGAAATAACTAGGACATATAATAAACTGAAATCGCCAAATATGCATTGTTACTTACAAAATACATTAAGTTCATGTGCAGCCTAGTAAGGGTGACAGGTGACTAATATTATCGCTTCTCAATCGATTTCTCAACATGGTTATTTTTCAACAAATCCGAAAGTACTCTCATAATTACTAAGGAAATGTACATAAAATTGTTTCATACTATCCCATTTATAGAGACTCGATTACCCTTTCTATGGATATATTGGAGGCATAAGTACTTGGGAAGAGGTGTGTAAGATAATCTAGTGGAGAATTGAACCCCTTGACAACACGCCACAACACAGCCTCAGTTACTGATGCTGGCGGCAGTTGAACAACATACTTATTCGCGCATTTTTTAATAATGGCATTGAAAAGAATACTATATCACATCTTGTACTTACAGAAAGAAGATTAAGCCCAGCTGCATCAAGATTTGGAACGACAGTTGCTAGGTCCTGGAAAGTGAAAGATAAGGTTAAATTCTAACAATGAGGAACAAAACAATTAATCCAGAAAAACCAGCCATAATTACCTTAGGTGGCCATTTGGGAAATGTTGATTTAAAATCCGGTAATGCAGTTACTCCAGGCCATGTTTCTTCATTTGGTGTACCCAAGATTCTTCATATAAGAAACAATATGTACATACATATTAGTATATGGAAAATGATACTTTGACAACCCAAATCCATACAACTCCTGTAAATAACTCTGTTTTAATATTATAATAATAGTTTTACTTTATTTTTATTTTTATTAAATCAGTCTATAAATTATTATATTAATAAAAGTGAATTGTTTATAAGGGTTGTATGGTTTTTGGTTGTCAAAATATCACCACTCTTAGTATATATATATATATATATATATATATATGTGTGTGTAGCTATGTTTGAATTTTTCAAATCTATTTAACAGGTCTATCATTAAAAGTTTTAAATTGAAAACATACGTAATTTGCTAAATTAAAAATTCCTTTGTTATCCTTTAGGATAAAAATGGGAGACATTATTCCGGTATCTCAAATTTCTAATATTTTATCAAATTAAAAATAAATAAATAAATAAATATATATATATATATATATATATATATATATATATATGGCTAGGGGCCACTAGCCCGCTTGTTTGTCTTTGAGAGGGAGACAGCTTTATAGTCCATCTTAACTATAACAGCCCAAAGACAGGGTGGACGGGTCCATTTTACCACCCCTAATCTATCTCAGGTGGCTTATCTTTGGTCTGATAGAACCCAAGCATTTGCAGCGGTAACATCAAATATTAGTGAGCTTTATGACCATGACCACTAATGTCAGTATAGGAAACCAGTCGAGCATCAGACTGAAATTCCTTCATAATATAACTTCCTCAGTATGTTCACGTTAATTTTATTAATTTAGAGAATTTATATGCCGATAATACACACGGTATAAACTATTAAAAATTTTGAAATAGCAGTTTTCCCATGTACGCGATCTCACTAGCATTTTTGGGGTGGGCCACTATGCATTGCTATCTGGGATTTAAAACATTGACCAAAAACTAGTTATTAAAAAAACTATGTCTCAAAGGCAAGGTTGTCAAAACAGGAGTTTATGCAAACTCGTGGAGGCTTCATCGAACACTCGTCAGTTTACTTAATATAGAAATATTAAAATGAAAATAAAATTTTATCAATTATAATATAATATTTTTTACAATTAATATTTTTCAGTGGATTATATTATATATTATGTTTTGATAGGAACCAAGGCATGAAACAAGAGAATTAGCTAGGTCAATATGTATCAGTTGTAAGAAGAAAATTTCTCACAAACACCTATACAATGAGAAGAGCCATTCTCTCCTCAAAATCACCACCCAAAACCTCAATAATTTCCTCTTGCATTCGGGTACCCTCCCTCCTTATATATCCATTATCTCTCCCTCCCTTTTGGCCCTACTGCCTGATTCCCTATCAGGCTCTCCACTCTTAGTTAGGGATGAAAAAACAGGTTAAATCTGACTAACTGGCTTACCAGTCCATTGTGAATATAATGGGACGGGTTGACATTTAAGGTCCACCAACCCACCCTGCCAAGCAATCGTAAGGCAGGACGGGCCAACCCCTATCCCGCTTGGTTAATAAAAGAAATTACTTTGATTGAGACAGTTACTTAAACAACATATAAGTGATGAAAAATTTAGGGAATTTATTATAATTTAAAACAACATGAAGTTTTATCAAATGAAAAATATCATGCAATTTCAAAATATTTGACATTCCTACACATATTTGTTATTATTTATTATTATATAAATTTTATCTTGATTGTTCTAAATTTTAATTTATTAATGCATCGTTTCAAAAAATATTATTAACATGAGATGTACAAGTTGTTGAATTATTGACAAATAAACATTAATTTTATTATTAAGCTTATTAAATTAATTTAAAATAACAGCAAACTAATTATTTAGAAAAAGAAGTGGCAGGTCAATGCACCAGTTTGCTCTTGGTGGGGCGGGTTAAGGTTTTAACTCATCTTTTACTATAGCAAACCAACCCACCTGTCCTATTTTTGACAGATCAATCAAAGCAGACCAAAATGGGAGTTGCAGACCTGTTTTACCACACCTACTCTTAGTGCCACATAACCATCATGTTATTTTCCCTTTTTTGCAAACCTGACTTGTTGGCCTGACATGTCTTAAATAATTTTCTTTTATTTTTTAAGTATTATTATATTTTTATTATTATTCTTTAGTGATTAGATTAGATCATAATATATTATGTTTTACATAAACAAACAAAAATCCTGTTAGACTCAAATTGCCCAACAATCAAAAATAGTAAGAGGGGCGGAAAACTATGACCCAACCCACTAATTTGCAACTTGTGCCGCCCCTACTTATGAAACGTACAAGAGGAGCAAATGGGAGTGTGGTGAGATTGCTGAGGCTGTCGAGGCCAAAACATGAAAATGTCAAAACCCAAAAAGAAACTAAGAAAAAAACACTAGCAGATAATTTGTTCGTGTGATAGAATAGAAGAACACAATTGAAGTTGGGACATCAACACCTAAATCAGAAAGAAGCTTGCAAGAGAGAACTAGTGAACAAAAATTTATGCCCCAGGTACGCTCTACATAAATCGTTACCCATAAACAAATCAGGTGTCATTTCTAGCTTTTTTTCTTATGTCCAACAAAGCTCGCCAAATCAAAGACTCTAAACTAGTGACTTCAACCGGGTTTAGGCGAGTTTGAGAGAGCCTACTTAAAAACGAGTTGACATTAGAATTAACTAGGTTCAAGGGTGTTGGAATATAATGATATGGACAGAAAAGAGCTGAACAAGATTAATAAAATGAATAAGATTTATAAAGATAATTTTGGGATATTTTTATAACACAGGTTTTCGAGAACCTGTCTCTCCACAATACAATTCTTTCCTAATTTCCTTCCTATCTTTCCTAATTTGGATTACTTCTATTTATATTGCTTCTAACAATCGTTTCTAATTGATACAAATTTTCCTAATGGTTGTATCCTTATTCCAATAGTTATGCCCCTTGATTCACATCCCTTTGGATGGGTTGTAATTGTTGGGTGTTTTGCATCCTTTGGGTGTTGTGTGTTTTGTTGTTGGTGATCTAGGATTGTTGCTTCTTTTATTCGTTTCTTGCAGGTGTATATCTTGGTGATAGGTGGTTTATTCTTATCAATAGCCCCGCCTAAAAGACTCACTTTGTCCTCAAGGTGATAAGTTGGAAAAACCTCTTGTATTTTAGCCACCAATTCCCAACTATTTTCACTCGAAGGGAGATTCTTCCATTGAATTAAAACTTCCACATTGCTAGGTTGTAGTTCACGAATATCTAAAATAGAGTTTTGATAAACCTATAATTCTTGATTCTGAGATATCATTGGTGGAAAAGGTTAGGACTAGAAAGAATCAACAATGGCCTTCTTGAGGAGAGAGACATGAAAGACTAGATGAATTTTACTATGAGATGGAAGATCCAATTTATAAGCAATAACACCCACTTTTTTTAATACCTGGAAAGGACCATAAAATTGAGAGGAGAGTTTTTCATTAATCCTTTTAGCTAAGGACCTTCTCCAATAAGATTGCATCTTCAAGAACACTCAATCACTGCCTGCATATTCTATATCACGTCAGCATTGGTTGGTATTTGTTCGTATAACATCTTGGGATTTTAGCAAATTCTCTCTTAGAGTAGCCAATAATTCATCTCTAACAATTGTAAGCTTGTTGACTTCTTCAAGGCGGAAAGGAATGGTGGTTCCCTTAAGAATGTGAGGGGGATCACGTCCATACAAAGCTTTGAAAGGGAACATTTTGTTGGAAGCATTATAATTGGTGTTACACCATAATTTGGCCCAAGGAAGAAAAGAGACCCATTTCTTAGGCTTTGTTCCAGATAAGCATCATAAATAAACTTCCAAACATCGATTGACAACTTTCGTTTGTCCATCAGTTTGGGGATGGTATGTTGAACTGAATTTTAGTTGTGTACCTACTACTTCAAAAAGGGCTTTCCAGAAGTTGCTTAAAAATAGAGGGTCATGATTTGAAACAATGGAAGATGAAAATCCATACAATCTCACAATTTCTTGTAGAAATACTACAACAACTTCGGTAGTAGCGTAGGGGCACCCTAATGGTATGAAGTGGTCATATTTAGTGAGTTGGTCAACCACCAACAAGATTGTATCCTTCCCCATGGATTTTGGCAGTCCTCCAATAAAATCCATAGAAATATTTGTCCATACTTGAGTTGGGATTAGTAATGGTTGTAGCAGCCCGCCCAGCTAGAGATCGGTTGTCACTTTTGTTTTGTTGACAAACTTCGCAAGCAGTAACAAAATTCTTGATGTCGGTTAAGACTTGGATAGCACCAATTTCTCCTTGTAAAATAACTTTTGATTCCTCAAAGTATAACCCATATGAGATGTGGGATCAATAATAAAATCTTGCATGATTTTTCATAATTTGTAATCTTGTTTGATCTCTTCAGCCCATTCCTCAAAATCATGAATTAGTAAGACTGACATGGCGTAATGGGAATTTCTCTTGGAAAGCGCATCAGCGACAGAGTTTTCCTTCCCTGATTTGTACTGTATTTCAAAATCGTATCCTGCCAACTTAAAAATCCATTTGTATTGTTCCTCGTCAAGTACCCTCCACCTTTTTTACTAACACCATAAGTAACAGTCTTCGTATGGGATGAACTTCGGTAAGAGGTGCTGAATTTTGAGATTGAGTTTGAAGCAATATTTGTTCCCACCTACCAAATTGCTTTGTTTGTTCGCTCAATCAGTAATGTCTTCTTGACCATGATTGATAAAGTGGGGGGTTCATAGAGTTTAATTTTTGCCCCAATGCCTTCCTTTAACCTGTTCACAAAAATGTCCTTTAAATGTTATTCACCAACATTTTGCAACATATTTGCAAACCTTTCGAATTGCTCAACGTACTCTTCTACCGTTTCTTCTTGTTTAAGTGCAAGGAGGGCAATAAAAGAATTGAGAGTGGTTGAAGTTTTGAATCTTTCAAAAATGACAACTTTGAATTCTCCCCATCTAATGTTAGAGTTGCAAGTTTCCCACCATTGGAACCAAGATAGCGCCTTTCCATCTAGTGCCACCATAACTGCCTATATTTTCTCTTCTTCTAGTACATCTCTCATTTGAAAGAAACATTTCAATTTATTTATCCATCTATAGGCATCAGATTCTCCATCATATACGGGGATTTCCAATTTTCTTCATCGTTCTATTTTTCCTTCCCCGACATGGTTCTTGGGTGTTTCTTCTCTATTGACGAAAACTTTGGGTGAGCCATTTTCTAAATGCTTGGACAAATTTTCTACCATGACTTCTATTCGTGCAAAACGTGTTTCAAGTTGTTGTTTTGCATCTCAATTTTGTCGGTCCACCATCAGCATCTCCAAAAATTCTCTCCATTGTGTCATGATTATCAGAATTAGAACGAGTTGTCAGCATTGTTAGAAGCAAAGCACCTATACCAAATTGATATGGACAGAAAAGAGTTGGACAAGATTTATAAAATGAATAGAATTTATAAAGATAATTTTGGGATATTTTTATAACACAGGTTTTCGAGAGCCTATCTCTCCACAAAGTCCTTCCTAATCTCCTCCCTAATCTGGATTACTTCTATTTATATTGCTTCTAACAACCGTTCCTAATTGATAAAACTTTTCCTAATGGTTGTATCTCTATTTCAAGGGTTATGCCCCTTGATTCGCATCCCTTTGGATGGGTTATAAATATTGGGTGTTTTGCATCCTTTGAGTGTTGTGTGCCCTGTTGTTGGTGGTCTACAATTGTTGCTTCTTTTGTTCGTTTCTTGCGGGTGTATATCTTATTAATAGGTGGTTTATTCTTATCATATAGTCTCATAAAAGTTTGAATTGCCTCATGATTTTGATAACCATGCTCAAAGGTATCAAACAAGGTGGCATAAAATTGAGGAGCATACCATAGTAAGTAAATATCAAAAAGAGAAAAGACATCCTTTTTTTGTTACCTTATACTAGTTTATTTGCAGTTTTTTGGGGAGAGTAACGCAATAAGATTCAGAGAAAGAAGAGGAGTCAAACAGGTAGAAAAGCAATACCACACAGGCAATTTATTCAATAATTCAATAACTATCAAAACTGAAAACAAATATTTGATGGGCCAAAACTGAAGACTAACTTTTCAAGGACACTGGTCAAACAGTTGCCGACACAAAATGCATTAAAATTTCAAACTTTGGATGGGTTATAAATGTTGGGTGTTTTGCATCCTTTGAGTGTTGTGTGCCCTATTGTTGGTGGTCTACGATTGTTGCTTCTTTTGTTCGTTTCTTGCGGGTTTATATCTTGGTAATAGGTGGTTTATTCTTATCATATAGTCTCATAAAAGTTTGAATTGCCTCATGATCTTGATAACCATGCTCAAAGGTATCAAACAAGGTGGCATAAAATTGAGGAGCATACCATAGTAAGTAAATATCAAAAAGAGAAAAGACATCCTTTTTTTGTTACCTTATACTAGTTTATTTGCAGTTTTTTGGGGAGAGTAACGCAATAAGATTCAGAGAAAGAAGAGGAGCCAAACAGGTAGAAAAGCAATACCACGCAGGCAATTTATTCAATAATTCAATAACTATCAAAACTGAAAACAAATATTCGATGGGCCAAAACTGAAGACTATCTTTTCAAGGACACTGGTCAAACAGTTGCCGACACATCAAAAAAACATTAAAATTTCACATATGAACAAGAATACATATATGAGAAAGTCTTTGTGCATGCCTAAATTTACCCCTCCTCCAGCTAAATGTACCAAATAGGATTCATATTCTTCAATCAAATCCTATATAAATACTTAAATATGTGGCAAAAGTCTAGAGACAAATTCAAAGCTGCTAGATATTCACCTGAATATTTTAAATAATTCATCAATCTCAGAGTCCCCAGGGAATAAAGGTCGTCGGTTTACCATCTCTGCAAATATGCATCCCACTGACCAAACATCAACTGGGGTAGAATAATGACGAGACCCAAGCAATATTTCTGGAGCTCTGTACCATAATGTCACCACCTACAAACAATTACCAATGACTATAGATACTGATGTGGGAATAAATATTGATTTATTTTAAAGCATGTCAAACAAACTACTACTATAATTCCTTTCCTCTAAATTGATACATACACATAGTCTTTGTTGAATATAGAGGAAAAACTGTATAGGGTTAATCTCCCTTGTGTCTTAACCACACATAGGACAATGTATTTATAATAAAGAGAGGTACAACTAAACAGAGTAACCGAATACAAATAGGATAAATAGAAGATATTGTTTGATATTGTGATTAACAATATCTCAACAATATCAAACAATATCAACTAATATCTAAACATATCTAACAGTCTTCAATTAAATAATTTCATTTGTTTTAATTCAAAATAAAACAAATGCAATTTTTTCAGTTAAGAAGAGGTTTAGGGAATTGGTCAAGGCATGACACAAGACTTCAGGGCTTATAGTAGTACATACAGATGACCTAGCAATGAAGGATCATGGGCTGGAACCGAACTGGGACCTTTCAGATGAAGCGGTTTGATTCTACCCATTGAGAAAACCCTCAACGGATAATTATGTAATGAGGCGGTATATGCAAAGTGTAAACAAATATCAGAGAACAATCATAATAACATTCTTGATTACTAATTATAGTGGAACTCATTACATATAAGTTCAATGTATAAAATTTTCAAATTACCATAAAGTGAAAAGAAACATCCGCTAAATACCAATTTAGTGGATTGTTTGAGAAATCAATGATCTTCCAGAAGTGCAAAAAGAGCTACCATTGACCAATGAACTTTCAGTATTCTCAAAGGTAGGCTATTCAACAAATGCTAAAATTCCAAAATTATGAGGAAAAATTAATTTATATTGATAATCACCCCATGATTAAATTCAGGTAAGGTCTCAAAATAACTTCAATTAACAAATACATTAAAGGCAAGATAACATAACAGTCTTATTCCCAATAAATGGGGTCACCTACATGGATTATTGACCACCACTGTACACAATCTTGCATAATATATAGTGGACACACAAACAACATTCACCGCCCAGGGCCGCACAAAGGCTGAAATATTAATTTTTAGATCAGGAGCAGAGATGTCAAATTACCAAATGAAGTCTTGAAGATAAGTATTGTAGCTTTGCTTTACAAGGAAAAAGGATTTTCATCTACACTCAGTTTCAAAAGATGCAACTTTAGAACAAAGCATAGGGGCATATAATTTTCTCATGCAAAAGCCCATTCATTTAAATTTTTATTATCTCCATGGATGACAAGAAGCACATATAAGGTAGCACACAAACCTCATGAGTAAATGTCCTGACGGGAATGCCAAATGCCCTAGCCAATCCAAAATCAGCAAGCTTTAATGAATTGGTACGGCGATCTATCAACAAATTCTGTGGTTTCAAGTCTCGATGAAGAACTCTATGTGAATGACAGTAAGCAATGCCACAGAGAATTTGATAAAGGAACATCTGCAGAAAGGATCATAAAAGAATTCAAAATCCAAATCCAAATTGGTATTTCCACCAAAATTAGCATCCCCCTTATAGAATCCATGACAAATTAGATCTCACACTATCCATGAATGTTAAGGTGGAAACTTTTAACCAAAATCTAGCGTACAAACAATGAGAAAGGAAGGTAATGGCAACGTCATACATAACATCTAAACTAAATAACTAATCAAGTCGGATGGTAGGCAGGCAGTCATACGGACAATAAGAAAGGAAGCCAAAACCAATGAAATAGATGATGATAGCTGCCTCTCAGTACAGAATCTTAATTTACAAGCAGCATTAACCTGAACCAACACAGTAAAGCTCTTATTAACCAACTACTTTTGATAATATTTTAATTTCGAGCAACTAGTTAGCAAACAGTGGACAGGTCCAACCAAAATCCTAAGTGAAAAAGTTAATCAACTGATCATTCATTTTCTGAAATAGGAAACTTTGAAGAAACGGCATACCAATCAAGTAACAAAAGATAATCTACAATACTCGTTCACTCATCAAAAAAATCACGAGACTCACACTATATGTATATACCTGCATTTGATTAGACAAGCTCAAATTTTGTAGCCAATCACAAGGTTATTAATCATCAATAGCTCTCATTATGTCTTCAGTTGATTTATAGAAGGACAAGACAAATGATAAGAAACCCATATACATGCTTGCCAGATTAGATCCCTTGCTCACTCCCAATTATAATTCAAGTTACCAAAATATATAATAGGAGAAAAGAAAACCACATGCCACTCACTTTTACTTGCCGTGGATCTTTCACAAACTCTGGAGATGAATCCATGTGTTTCTTTAGGTCCAAGTCCAGATACTCAAAAACCAGATACAATCGCTTCTCACTGTGCACTACATCCTGCAACCTGTCACCCACACAACCAAAAAGCACAACTCAACATAACAAAGCAACATTAAAATAATTTTTTCACGACTTCCAACACAGAGAAATCTGCACAAACATTGTTAGAATTGTGCAAGACCAAAAGTAGGGGTAAAACTTAAAAAGCTCACATAATTCTGTACATGCACAACCTGTCTACCAAACACCACAACAAGTTCACCAAACATAAACAACAACCGAATGGAACTAAAGTATTAAAAACAGGTTATCAATTGCTCCAACTATACAAACCCTGCGCAGTACACCCTCCAAACAACAACATGAAAGCCCCTCCTTCATTCATTACATTTCAGAAGCTAAAAACTCCGAGGCTAAGCAGAAACAAAAATTCACGACAAATAGCACGCAGCAACAGAACTATAAGCCCTCCAATTTGACCATCGATAAGGACACATTGCATTGAAACAAAAAGTAAAGCAAACGGGGAATACCTAACAATGTTCCTATGCTGCATCTCTTTCAGGAGAGAAATCTCGCGAATGGCGGTGCTGGGAACCCCCTCATCCTCCTGCTCGAGGCGAATCTTCTTGAGCGCGATGGTCTCATTGGTGACGCGGTCGCGAGCCTTGTAAACGACGCCGTATGTTCCCTCGCCTATCTTCTCCACCTTCTCGTACTGCAAAATCAAAACCGAACTCAGCGCAAAAATTGTGAGAAGTGAAAACTGGAAAACCGATGCATTCCGTAACCACGAACCTGTTCCATGGAAGATCTGTGAAGAAGCAAGCGTGGAGCAGTTTGCAGTCACTCTCTCTCACACACACACACTCCCCTCTTGTCACTTCTCTCTCTCCCTTTCACTCTTCTCAACTCTACTTCTTTTCTTTCCTCCCCTACCCTTTTCCCTCTTTTTTTTTTTAATGGTTTTCATTTTATTATTTATTAAGTTATATATAAATTTTAATTTTACTGAAAATGACAAGTGACAATTATGTCAACAAATGACAACCTCTTCATCCATTGGTCACTTTTTTCAGCTTTGTTATTCGTGATGAACACATTTATTGGTTTCATGGATGAGAAAAGTATCTTTAGACACACACCAGTCTTGTGACAAAATCTTGTTCCTTCGTCATTTTTTTCGAACAAAATTCAAATTCAATATTTTTTCTCACCAAACATATATTCAATTCTATTTGAATCAACGATGTCATTTTATTAGTGAATTATTGATGACATATATTCTATGAAATCATTTTATCCAGAGTTTTTTTTTATGTAAATATCCAATCACAAATCATCTTTGCTTCTTCCTTTTTATCCCTATTCATTGCCCAAGTCATCTCTACAAAACATTTGCAAAGGTTGTATTTTTAAAAAACCAAAAATGGCCTTATGTTGCTTTAAGTTATTCTTGGTGGCTTTGTGGTGAACTTGGTAGAGTGGAATCAATTCAATAAGTCTACCTACAACCCTATTTCCCTACCACTTATTTCTGTGGGTGTTTATGTTAGGTAGAGAATTAAAAAAATTGATAAATAAGAAAAAAATGTTATTTATGAAAATAAATAATTGAAAAGATAAATAGTTTTTTCATAATTATTATTTTTTTACTATTGATATTGTGTTTTCAGCATTTATTATTATTATAGTTTTTTTTTTAGAAAAAAAGTCTGATAATTGATCGTGGTAGATTAACTTTTTTTTACAACATAATTCATTATGTACATAATATAACATGTTTTTTAGTTCTTTTTTTCTTTTCTTTTTAATTCGTGACCCCTCCCTCAACCAAATGAAACATTAAAGATAAATGTCACATACAATCTCTTATTCCAAATATCTTAAAATAATGTAATAAATTTAAATTTTGTTTAATATGATAATGAACTCATTAAAGTTTGAAAAATGTCTATTGTAATTAGTTTATTTATCATCACAATCTAATCATGGTGATATTTTTATTTTAATTATTATTTTGTAGTGATTTACAGTGTATGACGGTTAGGGAAATAGAGATAGTGTATCCACATTTTTATTATATGATTAAAATGTTAATTATCAAATAAAAAATAATTATAAAAAACAAATTAAAATAAATTATTACCTTATATATATAGTATGATAGTAATCTCGCATCATATCCATCACCAATAAACACTAGTATTTTATCATTAAAAATTGGTAACTTTTAATTAAGCGTTCCCCATCATTTATGTATTTTGTAATTACATATAAAAAAATGTGAGCCATAAATACCAGATGTCTTCGTGAAACGAAACCCATTTTGATAAATTAAAAATGAATATCTATTTATAATAGATTTTATATTTTTATTGTTTCGTTAAAACATAGCTAATTGGAAAGATTATAAATAATAGTTAATTGGTAACATTTTTGTCATTCTTTTATTGATTTTTTATGGACGTATAAATACAATAAAAAAAAATTACAGATCTTATTATTATTTTATTCTAAGGCAACTTTTTCCCACCCAATTCCTTTTTATATTTTATTTTAATATTTAGAATTTCAACTATAAATACATAAAGCGTATACAAAATTATATTTCTCATTAGTAATATTTCAACTTTTTATAAATATAAAATCTATAATTAAAACACATTTTAACTTAAATCAAAACAAATTATAATTAAATGCTTTATAATAGAATTAAAACGATTAAATTATAAAGCTTGTAACCACAAAATAACAAGAAAAACAACAACAGATAAGTTTATTTATGTTAATCAAAATTTGAAATCAATATATATATATATATATATATATATATATATATATATATATATTTCTATCCAATTAAAATTTAAATAAATGTTGAATTGAGTAATATAATTTTTTTAAAATATTTATGTATACATTATGAGATGAGAAAGATAGTTTGAAAATAACTTGATAAAAGAAAAGCCATCTTATTTTTTTTATCCCAGATCAAGTGTCACCATAATTTAATTATAAAGCAAAATAATACAAAAATAATATTTGTTTTATGAATAAAATACATGTAAATTCTCTAAATTTTTAAATTGATATTTATGAATTTTATACTTCAAAGTCAAGTAAAATTTGGCAGATGGATTCACATCATCCGTGGTTAATGGAAATGTGGAGCATTGCCCACTTCAGCCCATGCATGACGTGGTCCTACTTTATTTTGTTTTGTGCTTTTTATTGGTTTGTTGTTTTTCGGGCCCAAAAGAACATCAATTTCAAATCAAATTTTAAATTCACATTAACCCTTTTCATTGCATTATCGTATTTTATTTTCATTTAATTCAAATTCTTAGAACTAATCCTAATTTTTAACATTATGCTCACTATTCTATTTACCCTTTTATCCATTCCTGGAATTTTGTTGGAAGGATTCTTCTCCCAATCAAAAAGGAAAAGTAATCAACTCTGTTTGAACAGCTTCGTAGTTTTTACAAGACTAATCTTAATGCGTTCTATATTACACATTTAACTTGTATAATCCTTTTCTTTTCAATATTTTTGTTTCTTACTAATTTCTGGTGACAAGCACAAACCTAGGAAATGTAGATACTAAAATACTGGGGATAAAAGGAAAAAATATATATATATAGATCACTAAATCTTATTTGAACGATGAAATTAAAAGATAAATATAAATAATTTAAGTAATAATCATACAACTACATATTTTCTTATGATCCATATTTACATAAAATGAAAAATACTTTCTCTTTCTTTACATTCATACATACATACATACAGTTTATTAACACTCAATTGGTAAGCATTAGAATGAGAAACTCAATTGGTAAGCATTAGAATAAGAAACTCAATTGGTATGCATCAAAATAAAAAATACCAAAAAGAAAAATACAAACAAGAACGGGAGACTAATACCAACATTCAAATACAACTAAAAACAAGATTAGGAGAACCTATTATACTCATGAAGGTTATACTAGTTACGGAAAAACATACATACAGTTATAGATCGTTAGTTCATAAAACAAATAAAAATTCTGATAAAATATATACATAAAACTAATTGTGAAATTATTAAATTATAACCACTAATTTCCCAATCATCAATATTATGATCCCACAGTTTATCACTTTTTGAAAGTCTAATTAAAATGATAATTCGTTCATTACAAAGTATACGAGAGATGTAACAATTGCTAGCAGATAACTATAATTCATATTATTACAAAATGTATAGCAGTTTTTTGAATCAAAACTGAAGTTAAAAGAATTTGAAATGCACGCAGCCCACCTGTTGAAGCTTGAAAGGCAAAGTTACTTGTAATGCTGAGACACTTCCCAAACCAGCTTATCCATGAAATGGCATTTCTTGTCAAATCCCCAGCCTGGGTTGCTCTGCATCATATTTCAGACAAAACATAAATAATGTGCAGACTAACCAGCATTTCTCATACTTCGTTGAAATCAAAGATAATAAATACGAAAAAAAAAATTAAAATATATGTATTACTGGATTGTTCATGCAAAATACCACAACTTTTATATTAGCATTACGTATTTACCGAAAGAATTATATCTGCACATAAAGCATCCAAAAACAAAACAACAGATTGTTCACCTTCATACAATCATGAAATAGCAAGATTCTGAATCGCTTCTTTGATGTACAAAGCCACAAATTCACATTAATATGGGGAACTAAAGTTTGGGAACCTCCTGCATTTCTAATTATAAATAGTTATCTCATTCCACCAAAGCCAACTCCAATGGCTAACAATCTTCAGGCATTCCTTACCAATATTCTTTTATTGATTTAAACACATATTAATCATGTTTTAACCAGAGAATTGAATTTATATCAATGCCTTGTCAATAAAAACTGTTCAGTCAAATACATATTCTGTTCTCTCAATACATTTGGGATTTATCTTATCAACTAGAATCCAGATTCGGGATTCCTAGACAGAATAGCAAATATTTCTTGGGATTTCAATTGAATATGCAACTGTTGACAAATAGATCCCCTACTTAAATCAAATAACAAGATAACTATACTGAGGAAAGGGGTTCATATACCACTGAACTACTTGAGCAAGTAGAATCATCAGCCGAGATAGTTATAAAAGATTATCAACATAAGAGGAAAAGAACTAGCCAATTAAAAAACATGTTATGCCCAACACAATATCAATAATTAGAGTTCCAAACCTGAAGAGAGATAACAGCACGGTCAGTAAATTGTTTCACAGAAGATGGTGCACTTTTAGGAAGACTTTTAGCAACTCTTTCTAATTCTTCTTGTTGCTTCTTTGCAGTTACCCTATCTGGTCCGCTATAGTGATCAACAATCTTTTTCAATAATGGAACTCGTGCCATTGTCTCTTCCATTATTTCCTAGTAGGATATAAAGTTAGAAAAGAGAAATATCCCAATACATGGACAGACACCATAAACTATAATAGAGAACAATAATAACAATATCCTTTACCTGTAAACTAGACAACTATTTCAAAACATATAACTGATACAGTACTTGTCCAATGTATTTGTTTCACAGTTTCATATAAAAAAGATATTGGCAACCAAGCCATAAGATTAATGGCAAATATAGTGATGAGTTAAAAATCGAGAAAAAGAACATCAGTATCAAAATCCGTGCCCTGAAACCTTTGCAATTATTGTTAGGGTAACAAAACTCGTACCTCCCATTCTTCCTGACTTTGAATCCCCTCATATGCCATCAAGAATGGTTTCATCTTCTCAAGTGCATCCCGAAGTGGAATTGGTTCCTTCTCATCAATATCTGGATTATCAAAATCCACCAAATATTCTGGCTCAAATTCAATCTGCAATAATCAACAAAGAGGCCGAAAAAATACAATTAAACATTGAAATATGGATACTAAACAGAAAACAGAAGTTTGGATTAAAAATTTTCCCCGAGAGAAATGGTGTCTTTAGATCTTCATTATTGGATGAGTACGATGAGTTTCCTGATAGCAATTCAATTAACTTAGCCTTCCTTTTTATGATGAGAATTTCCCTTGATGCAGCTAAACAACAAGAATTATATTTCCATTACCTTTAATTATTTCTTAACAAACATAAAAAGACGCCTGTAGCAAACCACTTACTGCATAATTGATGTCTAATGCGTCCAAATACTCATCCTCTAATGGTGATGGTAAAACTCTACCAGCCATCTCCTCAAATCCTTCAGTTAACTGATTCATTATCTCAGGCCCAAACTTTTTGGCTAATTTCTCACCATCTGCATCATCTCCAACATATAGCCCTGTAGCATATGCATCCTCTGCATCCTGCTGTTGACCTACACTTTCACCCGCATCCCTCCTTCTGAACCCTCCTCTTCCAATGCCTCGGCCTCTGCCTCTGCCCCTACCCCGACCAAGCCCACCTCTCTCTCTAAATCCTCTTCCTCTTCCAGTGCCACTTCCATCATCCTCACCTTGTGACAAAAATTTTCGTGCATTCCTGACTGCATCCTCCCTGCTTGGTATTGGCTGTCTCTCAGGTGAAGTCCCAGATGCAGCCGCACCAGGAGGTCGTTGAGTGCGAAGATGCCTATTTTCTTCGGTAACTGGTGTTCCCTGATCTGCCTGTTTCATGGTTTTACCCCGTCCAAGTCCAGACAACACCCCTATTATGCTGCCTGGAAGTTTGTTAACATGCTCGTGATCAATAGAAAAATCATCTGTCGATGTTGGAGAAACACTGTCCTCTCTTTTAAAGAAAATGGGTTTTATGGGTCCAGAGTCTGGTGGCTGCAAATCATTTTGAGGTTGAGGTACAGTACTTCGGCCATGACCAGCAGGTGGATGCGAATGTTGAGGTACAGTAGCTTGGCCGCGACCAGCAGGTGGCTGCAAATAATTTTGTGGTTGAGGTACAGTAGCACGGCCACGACCAGCAGGTGCCTGCAAATTATTTTGAGGCTGAGGTACAGTAGCTCGGCCCCAACCAGCAGTTGCCTGCAAATCATTTTGAGTTTGAGGTACAGTAGCTCGCCCACGTCCAGCCGGTGGCTGATTTATGGAAGATAAAAATGATGAGAAAGAAGGAACACCAGACTGAGGCATTGGCTTGCCATGCCCAGAACCAGGAGGAATGGGTGACTCTGTTGTGTCAGATTTGGGCTCACTGGAATTAGGCTTACCAGGAGCTCTTTCATTGAAATTAAACGGCCCTGAACCAGGGAGTGAGCCTCCACGACCGCGACCGCGGCCACCATCACCAAAACCAGATGAGGTAGAAAATGCAACTAGCGCTCTTCTGGTGGCATAGGAGATAGTGGGGTTTGGGCTCCTTATTCCAATTTTGCCTCTCATTGACACAGTGAAAGAAATGCTTAATTGGAAAGTTCAAAGAGGTTTCAGCAACATGAACCTGATACCCAAAATGAAATACACCACCAAGTTTATACGAACTGTTGGAATAGCCAATAAAATACATCAAACAAGCTCATAAAATTCATATTTCAAAACTCACCTGCATTCCATATTTATTTTTCTTGTGTTATTTATATACACCAGTTTTAAGTTAACAACTAGTGCACCAATTGATGATTAAAGAACTTTATTCAATTCATTTTTTCAACAATTTAAAACAAAACCAATAATGGCTATCCTATTCACATTTATTAATGATAATAATTAAGCAAGACGTTTTATCCTATGGTTCCATGTAAAACATCAGTCACAGCATAACACAACCATATTCAACTTTGATATTAGAGAAGAATCTGCTGCATTTCCATAAAATAAACAAGACTTGGCCGAAAATGTACCCAGCATCCAGCCCTAACATCACACACAAATCTCATTCACGTCCATTTTATAGAGAGACAAGTGTTCTGGTATTTTGTGTGTTATGAGCTTTTTTGTATGGGAACCTCTCTCTGTCTCTAAATAAGCGTAATTGCTTGTTCCAAATTAAAGGACCTTTGACTGTGTGTGCATCGTGTTCACCTATTGGTTGCTCCAAAATTTAAGAAAATGAATGAAACGGAAGAAGAGGATAATACCTTGCCGACGATGTTGACGGTGACACGGTGCGCTCGCCGGAATCGACTTCGCCAGTGGTGTTCTGATGGTAAGATAGAGAAACCAGGGCACACATTCAGTAGCAAAGAAACAAGGCTTTTTTTTTGTCACGAGGACAAGGATGCCACAAAACGGCCCACAACCGATAGCCCAAAACCAGTGTTTCGCTAAAGGCCATTTACTTTTTGGTCCGGCAAGTATTAAATGAACAACCCAGCTCAATTTCAGAATTTCAATTATTCTTTTCTTTGTATTTGTTCGAACTTCAGACTTTTTCTTAAAGGAAAAAAAATTATGTTATCTACATTAAGGTTATAAAAAACAAAATAAAAAATATGATTATTTTTCAAAGATATATATAATTAGCTTAAGTTAGATCCAGATCCTTTTGCTAAATAAATTAATTTTAAAAAGTATACTCAATAATCTTGAGCGTCTGTGATTTAACTCACGCCAAACCTAAATTAACTAAGGATTTTACGATGAATAAGTTGTGCTAATTTTTTTAATTAAAAAGTCAAAGCTTAAACAACTAAAAAGTATACATACTAACTATCATTTTTTATTTATAGAAAAATATCTCAACTTAAAATATGTTATACAAATAATAAAAAATCTCTTGAATGATGTTGCTTTTGTTTTTCTTCTGTAATCCTAGCTTATATCCCCTCTTGTCCTGCTTTAATAATTTGTTCATCTTCAAAAAAAAATATCAAATCATACATTCAATTATTAATATTTTATTATTATTGTTAATTTATTAATAATATTCTATTTATTTAAATTCACTCAGCTACCCGAAGACGTTTTGCCATGATTAAGTTACTCATCTTCTTTTGTGAAAACAAAGTATTAGAATATAACCCAATTTTATTCCATTCCATTCCAAATAGTTAAGAAAAAAATCAGTAATAAATATCTAACAAATAATGAGATTAAGATAGTTTATAATTCCTGTATTTATATATATTTTACTTTCTTAATTTATCAAAGTATATTTTAAAAGTATATTTTTTTTATTATGTTCTTTATTTTAAATTTAATGTAATATAATAATTGTTTTTAAGTGGCCAAACTAACCCAACTTTATTTGTGTGACTTGATAATTAAGTTAGATAAAAATAATTATTATAATTTAAAATTTTCAAATGATATTAATTATGATGGTAAATCTTAAGAAAATTTTATTCTTTACAAATTTTTGATGTTTCATTAATCTTTCAGAAATCAAACATCAGATCATGATTTGAAATAAAACAAATCAAATTAAATTGTATATAAATTCAATTTTTTACTATATATTGTTAAAAAAAATTCTCGCTAAATTAAGTTTCAAATAACTTAAACAAATCATACCAACAAGAATTAACATTGTTTTGAATGAATTTCCTATAGCCAAATTGTAGCGACACAAACCTCGAGGCAGAATATAAGCAGTTTCCATGGTTATTTTTTTTGGTGTCTTTAGAGAGTCAGCACCTGTTGGATAGGAGATGAAGAATTTGAACCAAATTTATGACCACCTTTTTTGGTACATGCGAGTTAAGGTTCAAGAAAAGAGGAAAAGCACTTGAAAAACTTCATCTTCCTTCCTCTGCACTTCACAAGAAAATAAGGTTTGACAAAGACTTTGGCAAGATGAATCTTGAAGCAGCTTAGAACAGAATACATTATATCTTGGGTGGTAAGTGAGTGAGTTGTCTCTTTCAAATTGTTATGGAGTCTCTTTCTCAACGTTGAGTGGAAAAGTCACAAGAACCCACACCACATTGAAAATTCAAACACTACCTAATTTCATAATTAAACACAACTACGATCCTCTTATTAAATATTATCTTAATGACGTATAAAATGGAAAGTTGCAAGACTTCGCCGTTTCTCCAGGATTTGTAACACAAATGAAACATTATTCGAAACCAAAACAAAACAAAACAACTTCACTGTTGACTTGACATAATGGTTTCACATACATGCATGCATACACATCTTATACCATGCTTTCCTTCTAAGGTGATTAAGTTTAGAGTCAAAATCTTAAATATACGAGAGTTACAAAATTTATTTACGTATATCTTCTTCTTTTATAAAAAATTTCCAGTTGGATTCAATTTTTTCTATTTTATAGGATAATTTAAAGTTATTTATTATTCTCGAATTTAAATTTAGAGTTGTTTTTGTTTAGGTTAGCTTGTTAATTTTTAATGTTGTAGTGATGTAACGAAGAATGAATGTTTTGGTTTAATTTCTCCCATTATCAATTATTCTTATTTTTATATTGTCTCTCTCTTCTAATTGAGAATCATTACAAGATGCCTTGTGTGTTTTAAATTTAAAAAAAAAAAGGTCTTAAAATAATTGTGTAGAAATATATAAAGAAAGTTCACGTGCTTTTCAATGATAAATGCTATTAGCAAGCAAACATTTGATATCAAATTTTTGTTTGACTTATTATTATTATTTTTTTAATAGATGGTGGAAGGTTCAGTTCAAGAGAGTAGAAGAATAAGTGGAAGGTTGAAGCATGTAGATAAAATGGTTATTTAAACTTATGTTCAGATTGGATTTGAGAAAGTAAAAAAATCCTATAATTTGGTAAGGTAATTAAAAGAAAGATAGTTACGTGTAAAAAAAATGTTGACAAAATTTGCAAATTTATATCTCTTTTTTCTAAATTCGTTTGAATGTCATGCAAACGATTAACTACATTTCACCAATAATATCAAAATCAAAGGAGATTCTTCGGAGAAAATGTTATTAAGTTTTGACAATTTTGTATAAAAAGGAACTACACTAACCAAAACTTCACTAGTGTTCCACCAATGCACGATACTTTATTGTTTACAAAATTGTGCCTAATTTGTTACCCAATCACATTTAATTTAATTTTGTTGTTTACTTCAAAACCATTTAAAGTGGCAACTATTTTAAGGTCATCCTCAATGGAATGAATCCAAACCTCAAAAATCAAACCATTCAAATAAAAGTCAACACTTGTTATTGTAGTGACGTGATCAATTATTACGATTAATTATATCTAACTTAATCTCACATTTTATAATTCAATTATCTTTATTTTAATATAAATAGTTTTTCGGAATATTTTAAAGTTATATTCTCCATTTTCTCACATTAAATTTTTTAATTTTTTATAAAGTATATATTTTTACGTCTATTTAAGGAATTAACAAAAGTTAAATATCTGGATAAAAAAAAGATATATTTGTTTGAATTAATAAAAGAGCATGAATGGGTCCCACAGAAAGTACGTGGTCCCCACTGAAGTGTAACAGTGACATGAGGGTGGGGATATTACAAATGGTCGCATTTTATTGGATTCGAAACGTGCTTTTCAAAGAATCAGAAATTTATTAAGCTGTTAAAGACGCTACTTTTCAATGGATTCGTGCCATTTTAATGCGTTTTAACTTCTTAATCGATTAAATTTCACACCAAACAAATATCTTCAACAAATACATTACGACGTTAAAAGAAAAGACACCGTTATGTCTTCTGAATAAATTTCTTAATAAAATTATAAATAGTTGCTGTAATTTTTTTTTCTTTTAAATATTTTATTATTGTAAACTAACTTTTGTGATTAGTCTAGGACAAAATAATCTTACAATTATATAAAAAAAATGCTATTGCAAGAGAATAAATTTATGAATGCACCTTTTTTTCATCTACAATTAATTTAGATTAGTGTGACATTAATTTCAAAGGAATTAAAACAAATATACCCAATAAAACTTATAAACTTTACATATATTGACTATATAAAAGATCTTTATTCTCTTAATTGTTCATTATTTCTTAAATAAAAAAAAAATATTCCTGAATAAGAAACTCCACACACGAAAGGAAATACAATTTAACTACAAAAATTTATTATAACTAAGAATGATGAGAATAAAGTTTTTACCAATTACCGTATAAATCGTAATTTAATTTCTACGTATTGTATTTAAATAGTTTGGTTAGCTTAACAATCACACCACTTAAAATTCAGAATTATTACATACTATTTGAAGCATCGTCTCTCAAATATATAAGCTTTAGTTAATTGATTGTTAAAAGTTTTAGTGATAAATAAGTTTTTAAAAATTTTCTATTGACAAAATATTTTATTTACTATTAATTATATCAAGACATATTTATCTCGTCACTTAATAATCATTTAATACATTATTTATTTAATTTTTAATTAGCATTTATTTAAGTTGACAATGTTATAAAACCGGGAAAGCTAACAATTTTATCCCTGCAAAATATATAGGGTTTATGAAGAAATTGTAACAGGTAATACGTGTTACATTCTCTCTTATAATACAAATTTTATCTAATTTACTTTTACTAATAAATTTAATTTATTCGTAATAATTTATAAAAAAATTTAGAATACTAATTTATTTTATTTGAATATTTAAAATATTTTTTTACATTTAATAATTTAATTCAAACCTTTAATATTTTATTTTTTATTAATTTAATGCTAACATAAACTTAAAATAATTACTAATAATTATTATTACTCATCAAAAAAATGGAAAATTTCTATTTCAAGATTTCACCATTAACACATAATATCTAAATCAGTTACAATTTTACATTATTAACTTAATATTAACACTATTTTAAAAATTATTTTAAATTAAAATTAAATACATATTAAAAAGAAAAGATTGAAACCTAATTCAGAGTTCGACTTGGAGCCAAAATCAGAGTTTTTTTTTTTTTTTGCTATAGGGATAATTTTAATAATTAGAATGGGATTTCTTGAAACTCGAATTTTCAACTGATACAATAAATAAATATTTTAATGGTGAATTGAAATAGACTTGGCAAAATGTGAATCTTGAACTGATATAATAAATAAGTATTTTGATAATAAATTTAAATAGGATTTTTTAGGGATTGGATTTAGTTAGAAGAAAAAAAATAAGAAGAGAAAACACATTGTAACCAAGAAAATTAAAAAAATAAAAAAAATAAAAATTGAAGTCTACGACGTTGTTGCCTTCGGTCTGAATGCCCTGTAAAGGTTTGACAACATGGATGCAGAGGAGGAGCAGCCTATTAGAACCCATTATTCTCTCTCTTTCTCTCTCACAATTTCAACGCCACCCCAAAATTCCACAGCACCTCTTCCTACCATCACCTTCCTCATTTGTACTTTTCTTCTCATTCTCTTTCCACTCCCCTGCCTTCTGCGCTCAATCCGCTACTTCCTTTTCTTTTTCCAGATTTCCCACTTTTATAATTCTCTATAAACCGTTAAATTTACAATCTTTTCACCATTTAAGGCCTTCTGCGCTTCTGGGAACTGCATAAGGTTAAGGTGCTGGCGGTGCTGCTTCTTTTGTGTTTTCTCCTTTTCATTTGTTTTTGTTTTCCTTTTCAAAAAAACTACTGTTCTGACGGCTTTGTTGCTCAATGCTCCTTGATTTGTGTTTTGTTTTCCCTGACAATTCTATGGATTTTGGTATCTGGGTTGGTCTTTGATCTTCTTGGTTGGCTGCTTAGTAGTTGGTGATGCTGCAAGTGTAAAAGCAAAGGGGTTTTTGTCTGTTGTTGAATTTGGATGATTGATCAGGGGTTAAGTTTTCTTGGGCTGACGAGGCTGCTTTTGCTTGCTTGTCGTGTTGGATCTTGATGTTGAATTTTAAGCTGTTTTTTTGGGTCCTATGTTGTTCTGGTTTTCTCGGTGATTTTTTTAAAAGTGGTTTTGTGGTTTTTTCTCCCCTCGTGACCCACTGACAGATATTTTATGTGCATGTCGTTTGCAATGTTGCTTTTGTGGTAAAACATGCTATGATTTTGAGAAATCTTTAGCCTTTTTTGTTTGCTTTCTATCAGGTTTTTCTTCTTCTGGAATTCTCTGGATCTTTCATTTCTTGATATGCTCTCTCTCATCAGCTCTGTAGTTTTGAACAATTGAATTTATTGGAGAATTGGCGGGATTATGTTTTTTTCGTTTTAGTTTTGAGGAGTTTAGTATCTGAACTTCTTGAATCCTTTTTTACCATTTTTCATCGTGGTCTTCGTGTTTTTAACCTTTCAAACTTTTACCTACAAACAAAATTTATTGTTTTATCCTTTTGCACGCTATCTGTTTGTTTTATTTTTGTTCTGCTGGTTTTCAGTTTGAACTTCTTCAGGGTTGTTTTGATGTCTTCCTTTCAGAGAAAAAATAAACTTACGTGGTCTGGTTTTCACTGCAGCATATCACTTAAATCCTTCTGGGAGTGGAGCTTGATATGATCGTTTGGATTGGGGGAGTCAGACCTTACTAAATTTTCAAATGCTAAATTTTGCTAGGACCAGAAGTCAGCAAAGGTCAACCAGATCTATGTCTTTGGGAGGTAAGATTTTAGAATTGAGAAGAAATGGTAGTATGACACTGTTATGGAATGAAGCTTCGGTACTTAAAGCATTAATGAATTGGAAACCTTTTCCTTTCTAACACTTCAATATAGGGTTTTTGAAATTCATTATTTGACAAAGTTCTGTAATTTTTTTTTTTTTTTTTTTATTGATTGTTTTCTTACTATTCATTATTATGTATCAGCATAACTAAATTGACGTTTTAAGTTATATGTTTTTATGTTCATTTTTAGGCATGGATTATGTGGATCCAAAAAGGAAGGGCAATTTTGTTGGAAAAGTTTTTCTTGCTGCAGCATTAACGGCATTATGCATTATCATGATCAAGAGATCTCCATCTTTGAATCCCCCTAGTCCGGTAATTATATGCTCCCTTATTCCATCAAATACTCGTAATTATCACAGTCAATCATGTATATATGCATGTTTGAATATATATATATATATATATATATATATATATATATATATATATATATATATATATATTATACTTTCTATTATATTTGCTGTCCGAGTTTTATTTGCTATATTTGTTCATAAATATCGGAATGACTGAATGAGACCTGAAGAATGATGCCATAGATCCTGTTAGACATGTGATTTTAATTTATTCAATGAATTGTTCTTTTCAACTGGTTGGGGGAAAGAGAAATGACAAATTTTATTTGATTTCTTAGAATGATTATGCCACTTATAGGTTTACTGCATAATAGTGCCTTTTGTGTTCAAGGAATTTGATTGCAACTCATTGTGATGACTGTAGTATGGGTTGTTTTGGGGCCGAATTTTGGGGAGCAAGAGATGAGAGTCCTAGCTTGTAATCTGTTCTTCCAGTTGAGTTTGATAAAACTTGTTCAATGTATACAAGTCTCTATGTCTCTACTTGCATATGATTAGTATGTAAATGTTAACAATGTTTTATGGATGGTTCTAATTTCCAATAATTGTTGCCTGATCGATTTATTTGTTGTATTCTAATGATTTTTGACATACATCAAACCTCTTTATTGTTTGTTTGGCTGTTTGACTATTTTACTACTGAAAGATACCTTGAAATGGTAGATGAATCATGGATAGAGATGATGCGCTATTTTTGCTGTGTACCAAATTAAAGACAATGAAGCTTGTGTATGTTTGGTTTGGTGTTTGCGAGTGGTGTGAGATGGATATAAGAAAGATAAAAGTTTGAATAAATAACCGAGGATTTAAATTGTTGAAGATATGTTGTTTTCAGTTATGGTTCTCTATCTTTTCTTGTTGTGGTTTGTACATTTAAATTGATTGCTATATTACCTTTTGTTGATTATTCTTTTTTGGGGACCTTTTCAGTTTTCCATTCGTGAACCAGGTGTCACTCATGTTTTAGTGACAGGAGGTGCAGGCTATATTGGCTCACATGCTACCTTGCGACTTCTGAGGGAATCCTATCGTGTCACCATAGTGGTGTGCCTCTTCATAATTTTGAAAAACTACTCTGATAAATTTGAATGCATTTACTGGTCTGTCTGCTAAATAGTTTTTTTTTCTTTGCAGGATAACCTATCCCGAGGCAATTTGGGTGCCGTCAGGGTTCTTCAAGAATTGTTTCCAGAACCTGGAAGGCTTCAATTTATATATGCTGACTTGGGAGATAAAGAATCTGTATCCATATAATCTTTCCATATTGCAAAAATGATTTGGTTTGAAATTTAGTTTTCTGTTGAATCATAATGTCACAGTTTGTCCAAGAAAGATTGTCTACTTGACTGGTTATTAGGTGAATAAAATATTTTCAGAGAATAAATTTGATGCAGTGATTCATTTTGCTGCTGTTGCATATGTAGGGGAGAGCACACTTGACCCTCTTAAGTAAGTAGTTATACCTTTTACTCAGGGATATTAACTCTAGTTATACAAGAAGTGGGGAAGTAGCATCTATCTGTGGTTTCTGATTTCTTCCATCTACCCATTTATCTTGTACAACTGATTGGCGTTTTAGATAAAACTTGACATTCTCATTTTTATATTAACTCTGTTGCAAGGGTTTAAAAATAAAGTCTGTGATTATATTGCAAGAGCATTTTCATTTTTCTGATGCCATAGTGGATATAGTATTATTTTCTGTTGAGGTTTTTAAATTATGAGAACTTGAATAAGAACTACAAGCATGAGCACAACACAGTTGTTGATATGGTGGGTTGAATAACTACCGGTATAATGACAGAAAAGTTGGACCTCTTCTACGAATAGCCTAAAAAATAATTATCACATGAAGAGTCCGGAAGTCAGAAGTTGCTTAGAAAATCATAACACTGTTTCAACCAATTTTGTGTGTTAAAGAGTGTGCATGATAGCTAATTTAACAAAATATACGATGTCATTGATCTTTGTTGTAATTAGATATGATTTTGTTGAGAGTCAGATCAAACTGTTACGAGAATAGTAAGTGATGTTTGGATTCTTGTTATCAGTGTGTAGTTGTGCATCTTCCTGTAATAACGTAGTTGAGGTTGATGACTTGACAAACACAACTAGCTTTGTAGCTACTTACATTTTAGTTCTTCATGCATACCAATGCATGTAGATTTAGAAACCAGTCTTTGCTAGAATGTATTGCTTTAATTTAGTAAACTACAACTACTTGGTGCCCAATTATTTTTATGGGGGATGGAATTATATTTTTCGTGAGGTCGCTTGGTGTTCAAAATTATCTATTTTCAGTTCTACATCTTTTAACACACTTTTTTTTGTCAGGTATTATCACAATATTACATCAAATACCTTGTTGGTATTGGAGTCTATGGCTAAATACGGTGTGAAGAAATTAATATATTCTAGTACATGTGCAACATACGGGGAACCTGAAAAGATGCCTATTACTGAAGAAACAGAACAGGTGAGAAATCTTAAGTGTGGTTGAATAATGAGTTTGGCCAAGAACTTTTTATTTCCGTTGCATCTTGCAATGGCTTTTGTTACACATTGGAATGTAGTCTTACCATTGTGTACTTCAATTCCAGAAACCAATTAATCCATATGGAAAAGCCAAGAAGATGTCAGAAGACATCATCCTTGATTTTTCTAAAAGTTCTAAAGTGGCAGTAATGATTCTGAGGTATGTAATTTACATCTACTTATCTGACTTCCCTTATTTGAAATTGCTTATTGGTGTGTAATGTGCCCTTTATTTCCTTAATTGATTCTAAAGAGGCGTGCCATGATTCAAGTCAAATGCATTTTTTTGATTTAATCAAGATGATGGGTAGAAATGGTCTGGGAAGGTTTGAGGAAGATCGCGGTTATGTTTCTTCATATGATAAACATCTTTTATTAGCGTTTGGCATGTACTAGAAGTAAAAGAAATGTCAGTATTTTGTTTTTTATTTGTTTAGTATAACAAAACGGAACCATTAATGTTGTTTGGACAGTTATTTAAGGTCTGACAATGGATGAAAGATAATGAAGCAAATCAGTGGAACTTGATTTAATCATAACTGTTAAGAATTAGCTATTGTTGGAATTGTTATTCACTTTTCTCTGGGAAACTTGTAGATACTTCAATGTGATTGGATCAGATCCAGAGGGCAGATTAGGCGAGGCTCCAAGACCTGAACTTCGAGAACACGGTCGAATTTCTGGTGCCTGCTTCGATGCAGCTCGTGGTATTACAACCGGCTTAAAGGTATGTTAAGAGACTACCATTTGATTACTTGTGGAATTCTTTACATTTGACATCGTCAGTGCCTAATGCATTGGAACCATCTCCATTATCAATTCTTCAAATCCTCCATGATCAATTATACTCTTTTCTTGAAGTTTGATATGACTTGATGAGACTATATAAGAATAAATTATCCGTTATTAATATATTGCGAATAACATGATGATATACTACTATTAATATATTCAAAGGGTTATAAGCTAAGCTCAACTTCAAGTAATCTTTCAATACTTCATCACAAATGTGTCCTGTTGTAAACTATAATAAGCATGTACTGATTGTATCTGTTTTTACCATGCAGGTTAGAGGAACTGACTATAAGACACCGGATGGAACATGCATACGTGACTACATTGATGTAACCGACTTGGTTGATGCTCATGTGAAGGCTCTTGAAAAGGCAAAACTTGGTAAAGTAGGGATCTATAATGTTGGTACTGGAAAGGGTAGGTTTTTAACACACTTTGAATATGAAAAAATAGTGTTTTGATGCAAAACCACACATTTCTCATAAGGGGTTTATAATTTATCAGGTAGATCAGTGAAGGAGTTTGTGGATGCATGCAAAAAGGCCACAGGGGTGAACATCAATGTAGAATTTCTTCCTCGTAGACCTGGTGATTATGCAGAGGTGTATAGTGATCCTTCTAAGATCAACTTGGAACTGAATTGGACTGCACAATACACTGACCTTGAGAAGAGCTTACAGATTGCATGGAAATGGCAAAAATCCCATCGTAATGGATATGACATTTCATCTGCAATCTGAGTTTCTACTGATCTCATACATCATGAGCCTCAGCATTATATTTTTTTGTCCCTAGGGAGTTTGCTAGTTCATTCGTTATACTTACATGTGTATTGGGCGTACAATGAATCAATAATAATGATAATAATGTTTAGTTTTTTAAATTTGGAAAAAGTATCGTTTTAATTCTTTAAAATTGATCTTATTTATTAGTCTCTGTAATTTGGAAAACAATTGTTTTAGTTTTTATCCAAAATTTAAATATCGTTAAAATAAATATTTAAAATATATATATATATATAGTTTTATGTTTGATAATTAGAATATAAAATTAAAGTATGTGATAATGTAAATAAGATTTATGTGTTATTTCATCGGATTCTCAACAAGTTAAATTGTTATTACACTAGTCATTCATAAAATATAATTAATATTCATGCAACAAAGAACCTGAATTAATATGAAAACTAATACAATGTTGGGATAGTTACGGTCCTAAAATATGGTGTTAATCATTTAAAATTTTCTTCATGAATTTCTTACATGCATTAATCTATAAAGTAAAAGCTTAAAAAATAGAATTTGAAAGCTATCATTTTGCAACCTTTGACAGGATGTACGTGAACGAGCGAATCATGAAATCGAAATTATTTAATCGTTCATTTGTCTCATTTTGTTGGAACAACTTGACCCAGGAATTAACTTTGCCAACATTATGTACATTTTTTATTTTATTTCTTTTGTGAGCTTTCAACAACTATAAGAATAAGATGATTAAACTAATTTCCAATAATTAACATATTTAAAGATGTTAATAGTTGCAATAATATTGGAAGTGTCAATATATGACGATGGTTTTTTCAGTCATTCACCGTTCATGAGATAGTTATTGACATAATTAGACCAAAAATAGGGTAAAGTATGTTAATACTAAAAATAACTCATTTAGATATATTTTAAACAATTGATTGAGGCCTAGAAGTTCAAGCGATGAAGCTTGAATCTGAGACAAGAGAGAATAAGTCCACTGTATTAAAGTTTAAATGGGCATTACCAGACAATAATAATGCAATAATAATTGGACACGAATCCACCGACGTCGTACAACAATATTCTGGTGTGTATTTAAATGAATATGAATTAAAATTATTTATTAAAAACCTTATAAAAGAATGTATAAAATTGTAGCCGCCAATTAGAACGTTTGTACCATCTAATTTACCATTATCGTAGTCTTTTCAACACGTTTTTCAACTCGGTATCATTCTGCATTTGCAGCCCCAGACTAATAACAAACACGCAATACCACAACAATCAGTTATTTTTACTTGAAAAATACAAGTATGAGAATGCAAAACTTCGGGTAAAATAGAATACAGATTTACCTATCCATCCACATAATCGTAATTATATTGTTATTTCTTGCTATTTTAGTAAAATATAAGATGCAAATGAAGTTGCTCAAAATTAACGTCAGATGTAGCTTTTACAACATCAAGACTCCAGTAAACCAAACATTGTTATAAATTTGAATACTATGACACATTACCCAGTTGATTATGTTCTATGACACGCACCAATACAATAGCCACGATAAGGTGTAAAAATTGCATGGAAGACCGCAAACCATTCAACTCTCGAAAGAAATTGAATAATCGACTCATGAAGAAAATGTTTGTAGCGCTCTATCAAAACTTTCTTCTGCTGATGTTACCCGTTTGACGAGTACATGATCTGCGTGAGAAAGTTTCAGCTGGCTGCAAAGCAATACAAGTTACACATTGGTAAAAAATATATGGGAGAAGATTTTATTTAATAAGGAATACCAAACCAGATCAAGTGATTAACGGAAGGGGAAAGGAATAAACTAAAAAAGGAAAGTTTAAATCCAGAAGTATAACGGGTCACTCAATCAAATAAGCAACAAAAAGCTTTATGTTTCCCAAGTCACTCAGTCAAATTATATAGTTATTGGCAGTAAAAGTTAAAGAATGCCCTCCCATTGTCAGATTGCAGATGCAAGCTATGTTTACAAAGGAAATTGGAGAGTTACAGACTGTGTAGTTTAACAAAGGAAAATGGAAGAAGGAAACTTTTAAAAATAAATTTACTTTTATATCAAATTTCAAAATGTAAATGAAAGTATTTTTGAAAATACACTTGAAATGTTTTAAATCAGTCCCTTCCCTCTTATTTAGATTAGGCGTGTTCAATGTTAAACTCCAAAATAGTTTCTTCCCAACATGATTTGGTTCAATATGTTTTGAACAATATTATTAAACCCTTTAAACTGAAGATTTCTGTACTGTGTGTATGTATACGCATATATTTCTAACATCATATGCATTTTCAATGTATTATATTAAAGTTTTGGACTTGTCATATTATCATTCTACTATTTGAACTTGGACTACTCAGTCGCTACCACCATTTAATTCATGTTCGAGGCCAAGTCATGTTCTCTTATTTAAATAACTGATGTTAATTTCACCAATTACTATCACTGTTGAAGGCCATGCTTAGAATGTAAGAAATTCAGTTTTGATATGGTGTTAATGAGGTTTGACACTCCAAATTGTGGAGAAACAGAAACAAACCAAATTAAGAACCATCGGGAGGTTTAGATTTAAAATCCGTGATCCATGGAAATATTGTTTGGTTCAATATTGAATTCCTGTGAATTCTAGCACTATATTCATTCATCAGATTTTAACAACACGGTAAGAAGGCATACTTTAAATACATTTAAAAGAAATTGCTCTATCTGTGATAATCTTGGAGCTCCCATTTACCGAATACTACCATTTAAAACTTCAGAGCTACGTAAGTTTTCTAACTAGTGATCTAAAAGCAGAAGTTAGGAAGGCATAACTCCATCTACAAAATTCAAATATCCCTAGCATGCCCTGACTCATAACAAGTACATATAATCGAATCAGAATTTAATAGCACTTTCTCAAAAACCAAAGACTCCGCCAGCCATGCATGATATTATATCCACACTAGAATATTTTCAATAGACGTACAGTGAAAAATATTAAATGATAGTTTACCTGAATGATTTGTTAGATGGTTTGCCAAGGTGAAGACAGCATACAACTAGATTGGCTAGAGTTTCAGGATCCCTGGCATCCTGTATAAGCCACCAATACATTTTCATCACACACAATTTTCCAAAACATCTTACAGGTTTAAACCAAGAGCTAGCACAGAATACATATGGAAAAGAGATCATTTCAGGATGAGATCAGATAAAAAAGAAAAATATAAACATCATTTACCTTTTACTCCATCTACTGTCTGCCCTATTTTCTTCCTATCTCTCTTTTCTATAATATCAATTATCACATCTATCATTTTTTCTCTCTTCCTTCTCCTTTTCTTTCCATTTCTCTCTTCCTTCTCCTTTTCTTTCCATTTCTCTCTTCCTTCACCTAAATACTCCCCAAAATGGTGTCTGTTTTTAAAATAACTAAAAATTCTTACAAAATCATTGAACTGCAATGAATAGTTATAAAATCGAAAGACAAATGAGATCATTTTGAATTCAACCAAATCACTCTGCAATTTCAAAATCTAGGACAATCATAACCACATTACAAAATCAACTAAATTACCAAATCCATGGAAGAGAACACTAATAGAATAAGAACACTTTGTAAAACGTGCCTTGTTCAGCGCTTCAACCAAAAGGGTCTCGGCTTCGTCAAAGTTGCCCATGTGCATGCAGCAAACCGCCTTGCCATTCAAAAGCATACTAGTAGACAGATACCTCTCCGACATATCTTGGAATATCAAATACGCCTCCTGAATCTTCGACCCTCCCTGATCCACCATCATCCAACCAAACTCATCAATTAAACACACCATATTCATCACTCTACTTAGCTGTTAAACTTAACTCAATCTTACATAATCAGCTTGTAAGACGAAGAATCTATATATCAGTCTGCGTGATCTCCAACAATTATAATTCCTAATTTCTACTGACAAGAATTATTAATATACAAATAAATTAATTCATACCACAGCCAAATCGAGCCACGCATTGGCGAGTTGAGTGAGAGTGTGATCCTCATCAATCTGCTGCATGATCCGCAGCTGCCTCTCTGCGTAATCGGACCTATGCATCTTAATGAAGATCTGAACATTCAACGCATGCCTGAAAACAAAACAAACACAAAACAATTACAATAAGAAACGAGATAATTAAAATATAAAAAAGAGAACAAAAATAGAAGAATTATACAGTTCCATGGTTCCTCCGGCATTGGTGTGTTTGAGTGCTTCGTTGAAATCATTCTCGTGGAGGAAGATCAGACCGGCGACGAGCCTGAGTGTAGCGTTGTTTCCGATGGCGGGATCAGCGAGCCACTCCTTGAGGTTGGAGATGGCGGAGTCCTGCGAGATTTCGAGGGGAGAGGAGATGAGATGGAGGAGACGAGAAATTGAGTAGAAAATGAAGGAAACATGCCTTGGTGTCGGGAGAGGAGAAATAGAGTGCGAGAAGTTTAACGGCTTGGAGAGGGGTGGGAGCGTCGTTGTGGATCTCGGAGATGACGAACTGCAACTGGCCGAGGGCGATGTAGCAGCGGTGGACGAGTGTGTCGCGCTCGAGGGCGTCGTCTTGGGAGAGGTTGGAGACGTCGCTGCTGTTGATTGCGGCTTGGTAGGCGCCGAGGTAGAAGTTATTGCGAAGGTTGAACAGGTGGTCCGGCGTCGCCATTGATAGATTCAGATCTCAACGATCACACACAGACAGATACAGAAATGGAGAGAGAAAGAGTACTCATATTCTCGCTCGCACTCTTATTGTTTCGCGTTCTGATTATTCTGGGCTGTTATTGGGCCTTCTATCAACATCTCAACAACGCTTAAACGGGCTTCTTATTCTCGCCCCAGTCTTGCTATGTTCGCCATTTAAAAAAAAAAAAAAAATATATATATATATATATATATATATATATATATATATATATATTGAGAAAATTATGTTTTTTATAACATAATATAAATATTTTTTTCATTATGTATTTCCACAAGACAAAGATTTTTTATTTCCAAAGATATGTTTTTAAAAAAAATAGTTGAGAAAATTGTAGTGTGAACATTAAAGTGGGGGTTAAGAATAAAAAAGTTTTCCTTTGTTATTCTTACTTTTTTTTTTTTTTCAATTCTCTCATCCTCTTTTCTCCATTTAGAAATTGTTTATAGTAAAAAAGTGAAATTAAAATTAACTAAAAATAAATTTTGAGAATAAATATTATAGAATTATTATTATGTAAAATGACTTTATCAAATACGTTTTGAATTATTCATCAGAGTCAAACGGCATTCAAAATTATTATTCAGAATAAGAGTAAAAAATATTTTAACAACATTCTATAATTATGTAAAATAAATGTCATCCTTTTAATTTCAATAAAAAATGGTATTTTCACTATTTCGTGATTATAAATAATTGTCATTCCACACTCTTTTCAAAATCGTCACAGAAGAGGAAAATTGAAATTTAAAAAATATGAAAGTGTATAAAGAAAAGTATAGGATGAAAAAAAATCTTATTATAGCTCTTATTTTTTATTTTGAAATAAACGAGAATGAACTTAGATCAGGATAAAGTGCAGCTAATTTATACCCTTTTAAAAATCTTCGGATTTTTTATTTTAAAATAAATTTGATAACGGTTATCACTTTATTATGTGTACTTAAGATAGGATTTGTCAATAAATAAAAATAAAAGTTCTACCTTTTATAAAAATCTCATTTTAATTAAAGATAGATAATATTATATTATATAAATGTGTCCCATCCTTATCTCTCAAATTGTAGGTGTTTATTTAATAATCAGAGATGAAGTAAAGTATGATTTTATTTGAATATAACTTTGGATCTTACAGGTGATGTTTATTATAATAAGAGGTGTAATTAAGAACGTTCCCTGCCTTAAGCACACAGAAAAGGCAAGGGTTACACATTATTGCAGCGTATACATATACTTCAAACTTTACTCCAGGGTGTTAACTTCTTTCAAATCTCTTATGTTATCTGCAAAAAACACATGATTTAAACTATCGAAAAGGAATAAACATAGTTCTAATAACAAGAATAGGAATAAGGTAATGAGTGTGATTTACCTTAACATTCCGATCCGATTCCTTGGATAACACAATTTTAGGTAGCATTTTCTTGCGCTTAGGAATTGGAACACCATTAAAAAATTTTAAAGCATCAGGATTTTTAGAAAGGTACATATATGCAGTAGACACGGAATCCTCTTCAACACCTATTTCTTCCAAGTGTGCCCATAACTCATTGATGCCAACTTCCTTTATCTCTTCTTTCACCACTTTAAACAAAATGAAATTGAGAATCACCTATTCTGATTCAAAAAACACAATAACAAATAAGAAACAAAAAATGGAATCGCATGTACCTCGGACTGGAGAAGCAGCCAGAAGCACACACACCATTAAGAAGAGAAAATGGAGGTGCCGATGAACAAGGAACAACAAAGGATTAAAGTTAAGAAAAACAAGATTTCAACTTTCAAGCAAGTGGCATCTGTGACTAACGATATATCTAGTATACCTCCACTTCGAATTTCAGCTTCAGCGAAACTCTGATCACCCTCACCATCTAGGACGAACGAGTCTACAGTTCCTCCTATGCCAAAGCCAGGATTTGGGTTATGGGTCGTTGCCCCACTATGAACGTTTGCCTTGGTAAAATTTTGATTCCCTTTCCCTATCTTGATGAATGAACCCCGAGTGCCCCCAACGGTATTCGTCTTGCCCTGGGAGTCCATGTTGCCCAAATTATATACCCTTAAGAGTGACAATTGTTTGAGCGAGTGATATAGCTTTGATAATACATCCTTCTATCCGAGCCTCCATCTTTATAGATGCAGACAGACAGAACGATGTAATCATGCACTGTTTGCTTGATCATGAAGCTAACTATTTTCAGATGAGTAGAGGAAAGTAAAAAAAAATCATTCATTTAATCACCTCTTCTGTTAATAATAATAATAATAATAATAATAATATTATTATTATTATTATTATTATTATCTAATAATATAAAACACGTTTTAAAATATGATTTTAGTTAAATTTATTAAAAATACTATATATAAAAAACTTATTACAAAGATACATTAAATCTAGGTGTGAAAAATAAAAATCGAAATTAATTCAAAGTCTATTTTTATCTTTATCTCTTTCAATAAAAATCACCGTATAATTTATTTAAGGAATTAGTTAAGTTTAATTTAAAAATATAAGATAAAAGTTATATAATGGGACGATTTTTATTAAAATAATAAGAATTAAAATGAATTTAAAGATATATAATTTTAATACGAAAAACCAAAGTCAATTAACACATATTTTAATAGAAATAATAATAATAATTTTAGTATATTATACACCATCTAAATATCAATATAAAAGTATAACTTTTAATTCTTGGACAACTTTAAAATCAACAGAGTAGTGGAGATGTCTTAACCTTAAATTCATACATGAAAAAAAGTTAGGTTTCATATTTTTTTAAGATTTAGTTTTTTGATATATTAATATTAAAACTTAGATATATAAGAAGTCATTATTTATTATTTAATAACATTTTTTTCATTTAAAAAAATAAGTATTTATGTATTAAATTTAAAATTTATATGCATAAACATCCTTGTTTATTACTTTACTATAGATACAAAAAATGTTATTAACAAGGGCTATTCACGTACGTGGAAGTGTGGAAAAAAGTTAGGAAAAATCTCAAATTAGAAAAAAATAAAAGAGATCTGGGTGTTTATTTTCTATTTTCTTTTACAAAAATGTAAAAAATAAAAGAAACTAGAAACAGGATGGACACAAATAAATAGATTATGAAATCCTTAATATCTCAACGATCACCATATAATTTTATTGGTATTTTTATGGTTCGATTGGAACTTAACAACATCCGTTAAATCTTGAAAGTTAAATTACAAAAATTCAAACTATAAATTTTGATTATAAAAGTTGTATACGTGCATGCATATTAATTTTAATAAGAGATGCACAACTTCTCACAATTTTTATATTGTTAAAATTTTACAAAGAGAATTTCTTGTATAATAATTTTTTTATTTATAAAATTATGAGATTCATACTAAAATAATATTTTTATTAATAAAAAAACTCATTGTAAATACTCTAATTATTTAAATTTTAATAAATACTACAAAATCATAAATGCATACTTAAATATGGAGGGAGTTTAATAAAATTTGTAAATCTTAATAAATTTTAGATATTGTTTACTACCATATTTTCATTCAGTATAACTAAATACCATTCAAATAATTGATATGAGTAGAGGGACCTATGCATCTTCTGTGTATGTCAAGAAAACAACAGTCACTGGGATGTCGGGTGGAAATAGTGGTTATCTTAAATTAAAGCAAAGTGATGCAATATGCATTCATCCATGTAATCTTTGATACATATAAAATAAAAAAATTGTGCAATAGTTTCAAACCTCACTAGAGGCAAGTGAGCTAATCAATATATATAACGTGGAGATTCTAAATTTTGAAATCTACCAAATCTAAAAAGAATTTTAAATTTAAATATATATTATAACTTATAATATAATACAAAAGTTATCCATATGTCTAAGAAAAATTTATTAGAACACATGATTCATTTATGATAGAATTCTTGCTTAAGTTAGATGTATATGATATATAGAAATAGAAATTGAAAAATTCAACAAAAATATAAGATTTAATGTTTAAAATAATATTATATTTTCTTATAAGATTAATTAGTCATTTTGCTGATAAATATTTTTTAATGATTAATTATATTAAAAATATATAATAATAATATCAGAATCAAGATGATAACCGACTCAATTAAATGCGATATAAAGTAGGTTATTATCTTTATCCGTGAATTTTTTCTATCAATTTAAAAAAAATATATTAGAAAAAAATTGTCTTATTGTATTAAACGTAATATATATAAGGATCATTAAGAAAATATTCATGATTAAATAACAAGAGAATATAAATATTAAGTAATTATAAATGAAAAAACTCAAATATAAAGTCTTAATATTAAGAAACACCTACAAACCTAATATTTTAAGATTTTTTTATAAAATTAACTTGGTATTTTTTTATAAAATTAAATCGTAATGTAATTGATGAATATCTCTTTATTTTAATCCTCTCAAAAATATTCATTAATTTGAGACTATATATTAATTTGTGGAGACTTATCCTCCTCATCTTATTATGAAAATGTGGGAATCAAAAATACAAAAAAAACAATAGTTTTTTTATATAATACAACACACGTAACCCTAGCTTCCTTCAATAGTTAGTTGATAAAATTATGACTACTCGATAATTTTCTTGAATGATAAATATTTGGGGCCAAATGAAAATGGAGAGGAAGGCAAGAAGCAAAACCATAAACACTGAACCTAACTCTCTTGTGTCAATTTGTCCAAAAATGTTCAGCTCATTCTGAGAAGCAATTACCACTGTGCATCTGCATTACAAATCATAATATAAATAAATGAATTGATATTGTCAAACAAACCACTTTCCACTATTGTCTAGGAAGAATATTAGCATAACCAATGCAATAATATGTGCATAATTTGGTGAAAGTGTGATGTTTTAAAGTGACTAAGATGTTGACCATGGTTGCATTTTACTCCTCGGAC